CCGCCTGTCAGGCGGGGTGCGAGCTCCCCGCCGGTACTGCCCAGCTGGGCCCTGGCAGTCCTGCTCCCCCCCCCGCCCCCGGGGTTATTAAATTTAGTCTGTCGATTTGGCTTTAATGTAGACTTGGAAATACGAACTCATGGTCATTAAGCTGTTGATGTACAGCTCTGTACAACTGGAAGGATCCTTGGAGGAGCAGAGCATTGATTGATACCACTTAAGGACGACTTGAAGGTTCTCTTGGGGTGACTGGCAGGAAACCATCTATGTTAGATTGTATTAAGAAGTTCCAAAAACTTGGAATTAATTAAACTCCCTATAGTGAGATACTTGGTGTCTCTTGGGACCATCAATCTGGCAACCGAGGTCTACTCCTGTAAAGTGTGAGGCGCTTACAGATACCCCGGAGGAGCTGAACGTGCCAAGAGCCCAGCACCTTGCAGGATCAGACCTTGGAGGTGAGGAGGAAAGCGGTAGTATTGCGTGCTTACCTTTGAATAAAAGCAAAACCCTGTGCTTCAGCTCTCCTTTTGGGTTTCAGGTGGATTTTCAGGTTATGCAGTAAGCGTCTCTTGCCACGCTGCAGGTTAGCTGTTCAAGAGCTGGCTAGCCTTTCTAGCCGGCCTTTGGCTGGGTGCTGTGCTCCCTAACACCGGGTGGCTTCACTCCCTTGCTTCAAGCTGGAAAATCACTGATACTTGGGAGTGAGGAAGTGCATAGAGGTTGGAGCTGATTTGTGTTAATTACTCTACGGTAGTACCACGTTGGCTTAAAAAAAGGGAGAATAGCCTGTAAACAGAACACTTTGGATGCTAAACTAGAATATTAAATTCACTTCCCTCTGTTTTTATTTTTTAAAGCTCTGTTAATCTTCAATCACAAGCTGTAAGAAATGGGATGTGTAACAAGCACAGAAAGGGTATTACACTGGTACTCAGAAGAAGGGCCAAAGGCCAAGCTCTTTACCCAAGAAAGCATCTAGTGTGTTTGTTCCTTCTTCCCTGCAGTGCCTGCTGCAGTTGCCCGCTGGCGTAACATAGGGTTTCCTGCTTCCAGAACTGAAGCTAAACACGCTGTTTCTGTATGGTCTCTGTTGCCCTTCTTGGGTGGTATCTGACTGTTTTATACACCTCCTTGCAGGTATTCAGTGCAGATCAGGTCTAAGAAAATATAACCAGAGGAATAAAATAAAAATCGGTGCTTTTTTTTTTTCTTTTTACTAGACTGCTGAGAGCGTACTTGGCTCTACAGGAGTATTTCCTTGGGGCTGCCCTGCAAGCACTTGTTCACATCTGTAACTTCAGTCTGTGACTTGACTGGACTATTTACTTATGTGCAAATTACTCGGGCTTGACTGCCTGCAGGGTCTAGTCCAGAGTCCTCCTCACACAGTAATCCAGTGACCCAAACATTGCAAAGCCATTTTGCAGCAGCTTGTCGAATGGCTGATGACTAGTGTGTCTAAGTACACTTTTTTCTAGTGAAATTCGTTTAATGGGGGACATTTTATGGGGAAGGAAGATGACTCTATTGATGGAGTATGGCTTTGCCAGGCTGCTGATTATGACTTACACCAAAAAAAAAATTAGATTAGTGTTCTGATCAGTGCTGTTCTTCTGTGTTTAAGCCTCCAACTGCTCAACTTTTGCAACTTTTTCCCCCTATCTGTTAGGACATATTACAAGAAGGTAATGTCTCAGAGAGTGAATATTAATATGTACACACATATATTTCAAATCAAAATTATCTTATAGCTTAAAGAGGGTGATCATGAGAAATATGCAAAGCTGCGGGGTTGTATAGGTTTGGGTTTTATTTTTGTTGTTGTTCTTGATCCTTTTTGCCTTTGCTAGAGTTTATTGTTGTGGTTAAGCAGGTAGTCTTCCTTAAAGTTGTTTGGGGTTTGGTTTTTTTTTTTCCTTTCCCTTCTCTACTGCTAGGGAAGGATCCACAAGTTGGCTAACAAGGAGGAGAGGAAACTGAGTGTATGGAGTCAGATGGGAGATTACACTGGAAAAATGCAAGAACCTGTTATTCTCTTTTGCCTACATAGTAGTATTTGATATTACTTGTAAGAAAAAGAGATACTTGATTTCTAAAAGCATGTTTCAACTTGCAAAAACCTGAATAAGCTCACTCAAGGAGGCATACACCTTGGCTTAAAAATACCCAAGAATGTTCCAGTTGAGTGCTGCAAAACACTGGAAAATACACAGGATGGTATTTTATAATTGGGCAGTTGTATTAGTGCACGAGGACAAGACCCAAAGCTCACCATCTTGTAGGCTTCTTTGCCCTTACTATTTTCCTGGACGCTGCATGGTAGTGTTTAAGTCTTAAAACAGCACCAAAAGCTGCAAAGGAGTGGGCACCAGGTAGGCATGTCTTTTGAGGAATGAGAAGAAGGTAGTAGTCAGTTCCCTCCTTCATGGTATGCCTCAGCCAAGGGCCTTTCAGATTGAGTAACAGGAAGCACATCAGCAATCCTGTCACTGCCAACTTGGACAAAAGTCAAGCTGACATTTCTTCAGCACTACTGTGTTTACTGCAGAATTGGGTATGTGTGCTACTCTTGAAAAAGGGCTAACTCCACTTTCTTCTCACCGCTAGAAATTGTTAGCTAATGTTTAGGCCAGACTACTAAGAGGTTTGGATGTTGATCCGGGTCTCTGCAGACCAAGACTTTTATCAGTAGTGCTCTCTGCCAGACCTCTCTTCCCTTTGTCCCAAGGCTGCCATTTCTCATGGGGAGGTGGAAAAGGCTGACTTCAGCCCCTCGTGAAACGGGAGCCGGATTGGATCCCGCCTGTCCATTTCTCTTTCTGTGGCTCCAACTGACTATTTGTAGGCTCTCCTTTAGCTGCCCCTTTCATGTCAAGAATAGCCAACAGCCCTTATCTTGAAATTGATTCTCTGCGTTGGTTTCATTTGCAGGATTTTAAGCTCGAGTTTGGCCATCATCAAGGCAGGACAAGTTCTGTATGGCATGGAGGTACAGCTACCATTGTTCAGAGCCCTGGAGACGAAGTATGGGGAATAGTGTGGAAAATGAACGCTAGCAATTTAAGTTCACTGGATAAGTAGGTGACTTAACTTTTGCTGTCTTCTACTGTTTTAGAGAGCAATTGAAAAGTAGTAGTTAATTTTTGGTAAAGATCTGTGTGGAAGCTTTGGTGTTGGAATCAAGAAGATGCTTTGGGTTTTAATATGTGAATTTCACTTCACAGTACATGTATTGACTTCTAACACATTTGTGATTAAAATGTGTTTGTCTTCAAGCTACAGCTACTTAGGGGTATTTTAACAGGGTATGGACCTTGATTTGGAGCTGATATATTGGTCAGGCTCCTGTTTTTTTAATCTCTATCTTCACAATGTCCTGTCCCTTAAATTACTCTAAACTCTGTATTTGTCCTGTGACATTTTTTCCATTGCTTTAGGGAGAGTTTCCTTTGAGACTGACATCAACTTCTGTCTCTATACATCTGTAGACTCCAATTATAGTGGAAAAGGAAGGGATGAGGACAAGACTTTGCAGAAGAGAAGGAGATCTTTAATACAGGCAAAGGGACCTTTTGAGGAGGTTATTTTGCATGTCTTCTTTTCTAAGGATTCAAACTTTTGTGAACTTGAGGTAGACCCAAGCTCGCTGGGGTGGTTTTGGTTTTCCCTTTGAATAGGGGAGGCTGCCTGCACCATTACAATGCATGGCGGAGAATGTTCTGCCTGTGCCTGATGATTAAGACAAGTTTAAGGCAACCTGAGCAAATCGTTTCTAGGCTGAAGTCTGGAGGAGCACCTGGGTAAACAAATCAAGGAGTAGCATAACTTCTTGTAGGGACTAAGGCAGGACTTAGAACTTAATCTCCAAAACTTTGGCTGGCGTTATGTGTTTATTGCAGCTTTCGGGATGTGCCTGCACAGCATGGTGCTTCTGGTACGCAAGGATCATTTGTTCACAGCAGTTCATCACTGTCAATTAATTGCAGTAGAAATCTGGGCTAGTGAGGCGAAGGAAGCAGGGCATATTAAACCCATGGAAAGCATTACAGTGATACAGTTCTGCCTCTGGTACTGTTGCAATTTTGGTTATGGCTGCACGTGTAGACATGTCCTTATAACCTTGGCCATGAAACTTGTAGTTTGGGCTTTCCATTGCCTACAGTGAACCTGAAATACGACAGAAACTGTTGCCCAACTTCTGTTAGTACATCATGGGAATGGGCACTCTCAGCACTCTCAAGTACTGGTTGGGAGTGTTAGTCCCAAGCAGGAGGGCACCTAGCTGGTATGCTTCTGGTTGGGGAGAGCTTCACGTGTCCCTGCTTTATTATCTCCTCAGTTCCCCCACTGTTGCTTACACTGGCACTTACCTCCTGGTCCCCTTTCTGCTGACCTTTACTGAAATCTCCTAATTTACCATGCTGTCCTAAAGCGTAAACTTCAGAAATATAAAGATGCTGTCTGGCAGCATCTGTGTTGATAGTAACACTGTGTTCGCCCTATGGGGACAGCATTTTGTATTTTAACTTCTAAAGTGTTGTTTACATGCAATAGAATTGCAAATCCCTGGCATTTGTTTGACGGGATAAACTTTAATGCTGGCTAAGATGCTAGAGACTTGAGTGCTATACCGCCAACAAAAACTGCAGGATGGACACTAGCATTAAAGATTGCTTCTTCCCGGTCCTCATTGATGCCATGAAGGTGGACTGGAAATGGAAGGCAACAGGATGTGTTCTTGGCTTTTATAAAGGTAGTTGATAGTGTTCTGCTAAGGATTGCTCCTAAGCAACTTGGAAGATGCTGAAGATCTTGGGATTCTTTGGCTGTGTGTAAGCAGATATATTTGTCAGTTCTCAACCAAGTTATTTCCTGGAATTTCCGTGTATTAAGAATAAAAATTTTCACTATTTGCCTCCCTGCCCCTTTTTTGCCCCCCAATCTGGATAAAGAAGTCTGTGCTTTGTTATCCAGAAGCAGAGGAGGGAATTTGTAATTGATGCTGCATGTTGTTGGTTGAAATACCAGTAAAACAATGTAATATATAGAAAATAAATATGGGAGGGGAATCTTTTGCTTAGATGGCTGAACTTTTTGGCTTCAAATGCATTTTGGTGCTGTCTCAAGGTCCTATGTACTTCACAAATCTGTAAGTTACAGACTAAATCATGACTTTTCTTCATATATCCTAGCAATGGACATTACTTAACTGTAACATTTTTCTTGCTCTCACACACCCATGTGACTTATTTTGCAGTCTGTTGGCCTTGAATCTGCAGTTAGCTTCCAGTCTCTGCTTGCCCTTAACCTAGTTACTCACATAACATGGCCTGTGTTATGTACGTTAAATAACTTGAAATGGTAGTAAGTCTTTAAAAGAAAGATAAGTTGTCAAAAATGATATTTTGATGAGCAGCATTAAAACCCATGTTATCACTCATATCTAAAGTTAATTGTGCTATAAAGTCTGTCTTGTATTGCTTAAGCTTCTCGTTTACTTCTTACTATTTCCTCAGACTTTTATCGGTGGCTAAATGCTAATGGTTAAAGACAACAAGTAGCCTTGTTTTTGAGTTTGGTTTTGTTTTCCTAAGAGAGCATGATTTCACTAATAAAATAACAAAATGGTTTTTGCCCTAATCTAGTTCATTGTTGCTGTACACGTCTTGCGCAAATTAAAGGGTGTCTTGGATTATTCATTGGAATGTGCATTGCTAGAGTTGTGCGAGTTTCCCCTTATTCAAATGTAACACAATGGGCAAGAGAAAACCTTGCAATTGTTTCATTATCTGAGCGGAAGGTAATAAATGATATGTGCCTGGCTCGTTAATTCTGATAATCTTGGTTGTGTTTCTCTTGTAGGTTATCAGATTTGCACAGTAATTAATTCACAAGGAGTATTCTCTCTAACTTTGCAAGTTAGCTACTAGTCATCTTTCTTACAGAGCTGAAATGATAAAAGTGAATGCTGCTGCTTCTTTAGAAACTTACTGTTGGGTATGAAACAAGTTTGCACAAAAAGCACTGCAATATGTTTTGCTTTATTTGTTTTTCTTTAAGTCTGTTAACGGCGCAGACCAGTGTCCTGCCTTGAATTCTGTTATAATAAATGCATATGTGTAATTGCACAGTTTGTTTGAAAGATGCATCAGTTACTTGGCATGAAAGGAATATATGTCCTTTACAGGCAAGAGGGAGTTGAAGATGGCATTTATGTCCCAATAGAAGTTAATGTCCACACTCAAGCAGGGAAGGTACTGACCTGTCGAAGCTACCAGATGAAGGACTATGTCTGTGGTCCCCCTTCTCCTCAGTATAAAAGGGTAGGTATTGCATCACTGTAATTTTGGAGAGAATGAACAGAAATATATAATGCAGTACTTCTGTCCTATTTAATAAGTACTTTCTTTACAGTGGATGGAAGGCGTGAGTAAACTGTAATGTAAAGGTATAACTTAATCCTTGTGCAATGTAATAATGTAATGATGCTCACAGAAGATTGCTAGCTCTGAAAGGCCTACTAAGTCAGGTTTATTTTTTGGCGTAGTTATGCCTTACATGAAGCCTCTATTTAACTTGTGAATTAGTTATGACTGACACAAGGATTTCTGAAGGATGTTGTTTACATATATGCAGCAATTCTCTGTTTGAAAAAATAATGTACTCCACTAAAAGGACGGAGGGAAGCTTCGATGGGGAGAATACAGCACCTGGCTTGTAGTCTCAAGGACACGGATTATCCCTATTGTCTTATGAAGTATCTTACTATCATTTAATACAGGAGTCCACCTGCCTCCTTTTACTAGATGCATCATCAGTATATCACAGGACTTCCAGCAACATTGCAGAGCACTGCAGGGTTTCCACTTGATGGCTGGTGAGGCAGAAGCGTTTCAACGCTGTTCTGCAACATGCTGACTCTATAGAGACACGTGATCCAGTCACGCAGCAGGCCTGACCTGCTTAGCTTGTGAGATCTGATGCGGGCCTAGCCTCAGGTGGCATGACTACATGTCTGGAACTGTGCAGCTATTAGCAATTGCAGGTAGACATCACTGTAACATGTTGACTTTTTCTACCGAAAGCAAAGAAACAGGACTTGAGCTTGTTAAATCCCAAGTGTGCCGCCTTCTCTTAACTGAGGAACTTGCTCCTATGAATCACCTTCCAAGAGCATAGTTAAGGCCAGCTGCTGCAGGACTTCTGAAGAGAAAGCTTGCTTAGAAAGCGGGCTCTGCTACTTCACAAACCTCCTCCCTGCCTGTTGTGGATGGAGTGAGAATGCACTTCACTCATAAGAGAGAAGCAACAATATACTTTGTTGATATAAAACAGTGAGTTAACAAATGGTAAATATGACAGTGGTTTGGCAAGGTACACTTGATGATCCACTGCATAGAGGACAGTGTCAGACAAAACTGTCAGGGGGACCCTCCTGTTGAGTCACGAGGTTCAGAAAGGACACCCTTGCTTTCTAAACTCCTTCTCAGAGAGGAGTCTAGGTGCGGTTGGATCCAATCCTAGTCCCAGACATGGTCAGCAGTTTATGTCTAAAGGACTAGATAAGCGCA